GTCTTTGTCTGCTTTTGTTATCAGGTTAATGATGCCCTCATAGAATGAATTTGGGTTCATTTTCCTTCATGTTCTGTTTTTTTTGTAATAGCTTGAGAACAATAGGTATTAATTCTTCTTTAAATGTTTGGTAAAATTCATCTGTAAAGCCATCTGGTCCTGGACTTTTTGCTTGTTGGGAGTTTTTTGATCACTGCTTCAGTCTCCTTGCTGGTAACTGGTCTGTTCAAATTTTCTATTTCTTCCTGTTTCAGTTTTGGTAGTTTACTTGTTTTTAGGAATTTCTCTCTTTCCTCTAGATTGTCCACTTTGTTGCCATATAGTTTTTGATAATATTCTCTTAAAATTGTTTGTATTTTTGTTGTGTTATTTCTCCTTTTTCATTTGTGATTTGAGTCCTTTCTCTCTCTTTTGTTTTATGATGAGTCGGGCTAGAGCTTTATCAGTTACATTGATCTTTTCAAAGAAGCAGCTCCTGGTTTCATTGATCTGTTCTATTTTTTTAAATTTCTGTATTATTTCTGCTCTCATCTTTATTATTTCCTTTCTTCTGCTGGTTAGGGTTTTGTTTGTTGTTCTCTTTCTAGCTCCTTTAGGTGTAAGGTGAGGTTGTTTATGCGAGATTTTTCTTCTTGAGGTCAGTTTGGATTGCTATAAACTTCCCTCTCAGAACTGCTTTTGCTGCATCCCAAAGGTTTTGGACCATTGTGTGTTCATTTTCATTGGTTTCCATGTACTTTTGGAGTTTTTCTTTTATTTTCCCCCATTCATTGTTTAGTAGCATGTTATTTAACCTCCATGTATTTGTGGTCTTTCCAGATTTTGTGTGTGTGTGTGTGTGTGTGTGTGTGTATGTGGTTGATTTCTAGATTGATAGCATTGTTGGTCAGAAAATAGGCATGGTGTGACTTTGATCTTTTTTAATTTGGTGAACTGTGTTTTGTGACCTAATTTGTGACCTATTCTGGAGAATGTTCTGTGTGCACTTGGAAAGAATTTGTATTCTGCTGTTTTAGAACAGAATGTTTTGAATATATCTGTTAAATTCATCTGGTCTAATTTGTCATTCAAAGCACTGTTTCATTGTTGATTTTTGTTTGTTTGTTTGTTTGGATGGTCTGTCCATCGATGTAGGTGGAGTGTTAAAGTCCCCTACTATTAAAGTATTATTATCAATTAGTTCCTTTATGTTTGTTATTAACTGATTTATTTGGGTGCTCCTATGTTGTAGGCATAAATATTTACAATTGTTATATCTTTTTGTTGGATTATCCCCTTCAGGATTATATGGTTTCCTTTGTCTCCTCCTCCTTCCCTTCTTCCTCTTCCCCTTCGTCCTCTTCCTCCTCCCCCCTCCCCTCCTCCTCCTCCTCCTTCTTCTTCGTCTTTCTTATTTTTAAATATATTTGGTAGAGAGCGCACAAACGGGGTAAGGAGGGGGAGTGGCAGGCAGAGGGAGAAGCAGGCTCCCCACAGAGCAAGGAGCCTGATGTGAAACTCCATCCCAGGACCCTGGGATCATGACCTGAGTCAAAGGCAGATGTTTAACTGACTGAGCCACCCAGGCGCCCCATCCTTTGTCTCATCGTCTTTGTTTAAAGTCTATTTTGTCCCATATAAATGTTGCTATGCTAGCTTTCTTTTGACGTCCATTTGCATGGTAAATGTTTCTATATCCCCTGTCAATCTGCAGGTGTCTTTAGGTCTGAAATGAATCTCTTGTAGGCAGTGTACAGATGGGTCTAATTTTTTCATCTACTGTCACTCTGTGTCTTTTGATTGGGGGGTTCAGTCCATTTACATTCAAAGTAATTATTGATAGGTATTTATTGCCATTTTGTTACTTATTTTATGGTGGTGGTTGTGGTTTTTCTCTGATCCTTTCTTGTGTGCTCTCTCATGGTTTGCTGGTTTTCTTTAGTGATATACTTGGATTCCTTTCTCTTTATTACTTGTATATACATTATTGGTTTTTGATTTGTGGTTACTGTTAGGTTTGTATATAACATTTTCTGCAAATAGTCTATATTAAGTTGATGGTCACTTAAGTGCAAATCCATTCTTTATTCCTCTCCCTGCCGTGTTTAAAGTGTATGGTGTCATATTTTACATCCTTTTATTTTGTGAATCCCTGGATTGATTTTTTTTTTAATAGAAATACTTATTCTTACTGCTTTTGTGTGATCTACTTTTCATACTTTGACTTATGACTCAAAGGGTCTCCTTTAGTTTTTTTTGCAGGGCTGGGGTACCTGGGTGGCTCAGTTGGTGACGTGTCCAACTCTTGACTTCGGCTCAGGTCATGATCCTGGAGTCCTGATTGCCCTCTGGGCTCTCTCAGAGCAGAGCCACTGATTTTTTTAAGGTTCGAGGTTTTATGTCCCCCTGGTTGTAAGCACTCAGAAATTTGGCTCCTCTGATTTTCAAAGCCAAATGCTTTGGGGATTTCTCTGCCCTTGCAGGCTCCCTAGTGTGATCAATTATTTTCTCTCCCCTCTCTGTGCCCATGGCTCCCTCCCTCTGGTGGTTCCCACTGAGCCCTCACCCTTCCTACCCTCTTTGATGTGATATTTTCTCTACAATTAGTGGTGGAGTTTGTTTGGCAAGTCTCTGGGGTCCTTTCCTGGGTGTTGGCTCTCATACAAGTGTTACCTAGTTGTATCCAAGGGATGAGATGTGTTTAGAGTCCTCTTACTCTGTCATCTTCCCAGGAAGTCTCCTATCAAGTGTATTTTTAATTTCGCTGTGTTTTTCCTCTTTGATGGGTTTTTTTATCTCTTTGTTAAGGATCTCATGGATGTCCTCCACTCTTTTCCCCAGTCCAGTGAGTACCTTTATGATCATTACTTTAAATTCTTTATCAGGCACATTACTTCTCTACATTTTGTTTAGCTCTCTTGCTGTGATTTTGTCCTGTTCTTTCATTTGGGACCTACTCCTCTTATACATTTTGCCTAACTTGCTGTGCTTCTCTGTGTTAGCAAAGTGAGTTGTTTCTTGGTCTTGAAAGTAGGGACCTTGGGGCGCCTGGTGCCTCAGTCAGTAAGCATCTGCCTTTGGCTCAGGTAATGATCCTGGGGTCCTGGGATGGAGCCCTGCATCGGGTTCCCTGCTCAGCAGGGGATCTGCTTCTCCCTCCGCTTCTGCCCCTCCCCCCACTCGTGCTTGCTCTCTCAAAAAAAAAAAATCTTAAAGAGAAAGTAAACAGTGGCCTTAGGAAGAAAAGAGGTCCTATAGTGCCCTGCAGGGCCATGTTCCCTACTGACCAGAACCTGGTGCTTCAGGGGTGTCTCCTCTGTGTGTTGCAAGTGCCCTGGTGTGGTGGCTGAGCCACATCTGCCTTCAGTCCAGTCGTCTGCACTGGCTATTTGCCTGCTGTGGGGAGGGTTCGGTCCCCGTGGTGGTGGTGGGGGTGCACCAGTCTGGGGCCACCTTGGGCTTGAGGTGGGTCAGACCAGGCATTTGCTAGAGATGCGGTAGCACCCAACTGTAGGCCCCTTTCCTTGTGTTGTCCCCTGAGAAGCTTTCATTGGCGGGTGGGCCTGCAATCAGACAAGTTTCTTTCCCATGCCCACCACTCTAGTCAGTGGGATGGGTCTGTGTGGTTGGCTTTCCCTCGCCCGGGGGGAGGAGTCCCTTTGCAGTGGTGGTGGCCCCTGATGGGCTGCTAGCACACTGCTGAGCTTGGGGCCCCAGTGTGGACGGGCTCTGGCCAGGGGTATATCAGGGGGGTGGATCTGCAATGTGCTGGGGGGTAGGGGGCGGCTGGGTGGGCGTGTTTATGAGCAGCCAGTCCTCAGCAGGAGGGCCTCAGGCTGGCCTGGGTGCAGGGGGCAGATCGGCTGAAGCGCAGTGCTGGGGGGTGGGGCAGGGTGCAGGCAAGCTGGGTACTGAATGTCAGCACTGCGCTGGTTCCCGCAGGTGACCGTGTGCTTATGCTGGGGGTGGGGGGGCGGGAGAGGGAAATGGCGCCTTTGTTCCTGGAGGAGTCTCCCAGAGCTCTGTCCCTCTGGGACACGTGCTAAGATTAGTAAAGAACTCTCCCTTTTGTATACCCCAGGCATTTGTTGAACTGCCGCTTCTTTGCTCTATCTCCCTGGGGTATTTGTTGAGCTGCCTCTTCATTTAAGGGCAGGACACTGTTTTCTGCTGCCCTTCTGACTCCCCTGGAGCTGACCCTGCTGATTCTGAAAGTTGCAGATGTTAAGTCCCACTGATTGTAAGAACTGGAGAAGTTAGGCCTCTCTGGTATTCAAAGCCAAATGTGAGGGGGACTGGTCTTCCCAGTGGAGGTCCCCTAGGTCTCAGGTGCCTGGCGTGGGGTCTGTTCCTCTCTCAGCCTGCGGCATCCCTCTGTCCTGCAGACAGTCCCCTGGCTCAGTCTGGCTCCTGACCACATCTCTTGCCCTCCTGCCCCCTTTGATGTGGCCTCTTTTCTACATTTAGCTGTGGAGAGTCTGCTCTGTCAGTGTTTGGGTCGTGTTCTGGGTTATTTGCACTGACCTGGATGTTACCTGTGGGTTTATCTGTGGGACAAGGTGAGCCTACGATTCTCGTACTCTGCAATCTTCGCAGGAAGTCCTGACTGGGGCATTGTTCAGTGTGGAATTCAGGGCAAGCCACACCACCACCCCCAACGCCCCCATCCCCATCCTAAAGTCACCATCTCTAGCCTATTTTGTTCTAGTTGTGCAGTCCTATCTGGGTCTCAGGGGCACTCTCTGCCTTTAAGGATGTTGAAGGGTGTATTAACAGTATCTCTGCAATCCGGCCACCTGGGCACTCTCAGTCCCTGTCCATGGCCTTCAGGAGCCACGTATAAACATGGCAGTGAGGCCAACCCAAGGATGGAGGATCATTCCTCCTAAGGACTTGAGAAGGTCTCACTGGGGCATGGGGAACCTTGGCTCTGGTTCTGACCATGATGCTAGTATCTTGTATCTTGGTAGCTTCAAGCCAATCACTTCACCCACTGGAGTCTCTGTAACTTTTACTTGTAGGATGAAGGGGCTGAGATTCAGATTTTGCAGAGGAACATCTGAGTTGCCATTTCTGGATGAATGAGGAGTTAAGGTAAGACTGCCTGCTAGAACACAAATTCTCAATGGGGTCACACAACACACGTTTCATATCGCGGTCACCAGTCGGGAATGGCTGGTCAGGGGGCTTTCCTATGTGACTATCCAGGGGCCTGGATCCTTCTGCGGCTCTGCCCACCTTTAAACTGGGAGCTTTGTGAGGTTTCCAAGAAGAGTAGAGCAGAGCGACGCATGAATGCTCCAAAACAAGATGATTCAAAACACTTGCACTGGAAATTTTTTGGGCCAGGTCTGGAAGTGCCCTGCGCCCCTCCCACCCACATTTCATGGGCCAGAAGTTGGCCACAAGGCCACACCTAGGCACGAGGAAATCTGGGAAATGTGGTCTGGCCATGTGGAGAGGAGGAAACGCGTTGGCTACACAACCAGCCAGCTGGGGAGAGAGAACCGTTTGCCACTTGAAATGGCAGGCCTTCCTGGCTATCCTTGACTTACCAAAGGGTCTAAAGCCATGCACTTCGACCTCAACCAGGGGAATTGTGTACAGGAGGGTGTTACAGTAATGTCACTGCAAGAAGACAGCAGGCTGAATTAGGGAGTGCGTCCACACCTCCAGGTTTTCCCAGAAGCGGCCCAACTCAGGCCTGGGGTCTGGGCATTCCATCCCCAGTTTGGATGACAGATTCTATAATCACCCAATAGAGGAAGGAAGAGAGTACTGGATTTGGTAAAGATGCAGGATATTGCTGAAGAGAAGCCATACAGCCACTGTTCCATAAAGACAGTATTTTTTTTTTTTAATTTTTAAAATTCTGCATCTGAAAACACAGTATGACAGAAAGCATCTATATACACCTGCAGTGTTTTTGGTATGATACAGTATTTAATACATCCACTGTTTTCTGCAAAAGATTTTGCTTTGTCAGACAGAAACAAACTCCCCTAGACAAAAAAATACAGCTAAGGCACAATTTCGTTGTTTTTCTGCTAAATGAAGATACAGAAAAGGTGCAAAAATGGGCAGGTAGTGCAATCACTTCCGAGAAACACTGTCTACCTCGAAGAAAAGCGTTCGTAGGATCGGAATTTTGATGACTGGTCAATTTCAGATAGTTCAATCTCTTTTAAAATACTCCTTTAAATAAATAGCAAAATATCTACATCTTTCAGTGTGTGCCATTGGAATTCTCTTTTTTAAACTTTATTTACAGATTTTTTTAAATCAATACATTACAAAATATTTCTGTACAGTTTTATGCATATCATGATCTATAACAAAATAGTTATTTTTAAAAACTATATCACCACATGTCTTTGAGAAAAAAATGAGGGGGACAGTAATAACTTATCATGAGGCCTCTACAAAAAAAATAAATGCTACTGACAACATAATATTAAAAACAAAAAAGAAGACGGAGAAAGGACTCTAAGGACGGTTGCACTCAATTCCAGTGAATTTCCTATGAGAACCCTGGGGGGGGGTTGTCTTTGGCCGCCAACGGGACCCGGAGCGATGAAAGTCAGGAGCGTGATCCCTTTGAGAACACGCCCCACGACCCATCTGCTGGGAATCCAGAACACTCTCCCTTTCCAGGCAGGAAGGACGGAAAGAGAAATCGAGACACTCTCCTGATTTACCCTT